CCTTGCATTCGATGACTATGGGGTCATCATGAGGCCGCTTGACCTTGCCCTGATCCTTCTCAGAGATGAGGACCTCAGGGAAGGTGTCTTTCGACGCCTGGCCCTCATCCAATGAGTTTACCAGCTTCCTGATATTTTCCTTGGTACCCCGGATGGTAGGACCCCCTCCCGCGAAACCACCTGCTATGGTGAAGATTTGCTCTTCATCAGTGTCAGAGCTCACAACGGCTTCTTGGACGGTTGTCCATTGTTTGCTTTGGGGTTACCCTTGGACTTCACCATATAGGACTTCAAAGCCCCCTCATCAGCTAGACGGTCCAGTAGCCGCCAGAGGCTATAGCAGCCATTGGTGTCATGGCCGATATCCTCATGGAATTGACAGTACTTGCTCTTGTCCCGACTTTTGATGGGACTCTTCATTGCTGCCAGGTTTTCAATGATCAACTGGTCTTTGATCTCCATGAGGATGGAGGAGCAGTCCTTGTTGAACTCGTACTTGGGGACGTACGACTTCAACTCTCTCTTTTTCTTCTGGGACGGCTGACCAGAATGGTCCGTCGCCCATACTTCTTTTCTTTTCTTGCTCTCTTCTTTTTTAGCCGGCTAAGTAGACCGGCTCTCCTTCCTGTTGGAATTTTTAGGGTCCGACGAGTGCTTGATGGCACAGAGCTCCGTCGCCTGTATGTAGGCTTCGGCTTCCATCAACGCCTCTTGGAGGGTAGCAACCCTCTTTCTGACCACGTCGAACTTAAAGGTCGACCCGTCCTTTAGACCCTTGAAGAAGTTTGTATAGGCAACTTTGTCAGACAATCCTTGGATCTGAATTCTCATCAGATTGAACCGCTTGACATAGGACCTTAGTCCTTCCTTGTCTCCCTGCTGAATAGCCCCCAAGTCAAGACTTGTCTTTTTGGCAGGGATGTTCATGGAGAAGTTGGACGCGAACAGGTATGCTAGTGTCTTGAAGTTGTTGATGCATCCGGATGGCAGGTTGCCAAACCATCGTTGGGCTATGCCCTTCAATGTTGCTGGGAAGCATCGGCACCAGGCGGCATCATCCAACCCCTGTAAGTACATGAGGTTGGTGTAAGCCATGAGGTGGTCTTCCGGGTTGGTGGTACCGTCATAGGTACCAACCAACACGTTCTTAACCTTGGCCTGCCGAGCCACCTCGGTTATCTCCCTGGAGAACGCCGATGGATGTTCCCCAAGGTTCAGCAGCCGGAGCTGCCAGTCCATGGGCTGGACTTGTTATGCCGCCCGACCCCCAAAGAAGGCCGGCTGCATGTATGGTGATCCATACGGCATGTACGGCTTTTGAGGCACATATGGAGCCGGCTGGATAATCTGAGGGCCAGTACTTGCGGACATGCCGCGTGACTGACTCTCTCGGTTTATTTTCGAATACTTCATTGAAGTATTCCGGAAACTGTCTGGGTAAGTCGACGTTGAGGTCGACTCAGACATTTGTTGACTTCTCTTGTCCTGGATGAACATCCGGGCGTCTGAGTAAGTCTTTTTTTACCCATCCGGCTGAACTTGCCGAATGGCCTTCCTTTGCCCAGATTCAGGGAAACGAAGTTTGGATAGGTCGATCATGGGCCCGTCCGCCCCTTTTGGTTTAGGGTGAGGAGTAGGCACACGATCTTTAATATGCTTCTTCCCGGAGGGAGAAGGCTTCTTGGCCGGCTGACCCTTGTTAGTGCCAGCTGACTTACTTATCAGGTCCTTGATATCCCCTTTAAAACTCGTCATGAATTTCATGAGTTCGTCTCTTGTCACGGGGGCAGCTCCTTCCGCCGCCTGGGGTCTCCCAGCCGGCTTGAAGGTTGGGCTGCCAGGACCAGGTTTATCTTCGCCCCGTTCCCTTGTTTCTTTGGAACGGGTGCGTCTTGTTCTATATGACCCGTTTGGGGCCACGTAGGTGTCGACCTCAAAGTCGTCACCACTGTCTTAGTCCGTGTGGACCTCGGTCTCGGCCATAGGCCGTTTGCCCTCAACAGGCGGTATAGATTCCAATGTCATCTCAGAAGTACTCTCCCCACAGACGGCGCCAAATGTTTCGGGGTTTTTGGAGTCCCTCGAGAGAGTTACAATTCCGAGAATGCGCGTCGATCGTCTGTACCTGCAAAACCACAAAAACTCCGGTTGGGTGGAGTTCCGCCTCCGACAATCAAGATAGAACGTTTCCGGATGTATTAAAGTGTGGAATGTAAAGGTTTTTCTCTTTGATTCAGAGAGAATTCAGCAATTAATATTGCTCGGTTTTTTGTGTTTGTATTTATGAATATGTAATAAATGAGGATTTTCCTCTATTTATAGTGGAAGGGATCAGTTCCCCTTTTATGGTTAAGGTGCCACGTGTCAGTAGAGGATTGGATCCCTTTGGGCCTCTCTGAGACTGACACGTGTCAGCATACCATTGGGCCACGTGGACAGCAATTACCAAGGATGATATTTTTTATTATGTTGATATTTTGCCTGATGTTTAAGCTTCTTACTCCTACTAATAATACATGCATACATCTATTAATACTAATCTTAGACTTAGCAATTAAGTTTTTTGAATCGGGTAAAGGTTAAGTCATTTCGGATCTGGGTCAAATTCAAGTCAATTGATTATCGGGTCGGGTCATTTTGAGTGTTGGGTCAACGAACGGATAATTGGGTTGGGTTGGTATTTTGCCTGATGTATAAGCTCCTTACTCCTATTAGTATTGATAGATGTATACATGTATATATTATTAGTATCAATATTAATCTACGACTTGGCAATCAGGTTGTGTAATTTGAGTTAGGTACATGTTGGGTTATTTTGGATCGGGTCAAGTTCAAGTCAACTAATAGTCAGATCGGTCATTTCATGTTTTGGGTCAACGGATAATTGTGTTGGGTATAGGGTTGAGACTTTGGTTTGGGTCATGTTCAAGCAAGATTGGTAATTCAATTAGGCTGTGACTTTGACTAAGAATGGATCAATAAATTTAGTATTGTTAGTGTTTTTTATTTTTTATTTTTATTTTTTTTTGGTGAGGAAATATACGTATTTTAATAGCATAAATACAAGTAGTAAGTATTTTATACAAGTATATAATAAATATCAATTATATTTATCAATATATTTTAATTAAATCAAGTAGTTGAATTTATTTTATTACAATGATTTTATTTGTTAGAATATTCTAGAATATAATACTAAATAATATGATCACTAAAATTTAAGGGAATAAGATGATCATTTTATTAAGTGAATATTCTAGTAAAGGTTTTAAATCAAGCAGATTATTTGATGGTAGAAGATCTTTTTAAGTTTCCTAAAACATTTATTTTGCAAGGATTTTTGCCTTAATTCTATTTTCAACTTATGTAAACTAAATAAGCTTGGGAGAAAGATAAGGAATTTTTATGACACGCATGACTAAATGGCAGTGGTATATAAATCCCTTTAGTCATAAATTTTCAAAGTTTGTCGAATTTCAAAATAAACTAAGCATTTTATTGTTTTTGAGTTTTGGAGAGACAAAAAAATAGAAGAAGAAGATGAAGGTAGCCAACCACCACAGCCACGAAGGGCAGCCAACACAAGTTGTCGTCGACCACCAGGTCTTGGATGGCTGTCGTTGCTGCCACCAGTTGCGGTGGGGCTGGTGGCCGAACACTATTCAAAAAAAAATTCTTTTCTTTCTTTCTTTCTTTTTTTACTCTTCTTCTTTCTAATTCAAATTCATACTTTTTTTTTTATCAATATAATTTCAAAGTTCATAATTTTAATTTTCAGATTTAAATTCATGAAGATTAGTTAAAATCTAGGGAAATTCTCTTTGGTGCTCTTAAGTTTTTTATTTTTCTCAATGGTAAATAACAAAACATCAAATTTTCTTTGGTAATCGACTAAAATTATTATTTTAAAAATTATCTTTTTTTAAAAAAAAAACATCATCCCCTTCCCCACCACGCCCAGCCGCCTCCCTGCATTGGCCGTCCCGCCCTGACCCCCCTCCATCGGTGACGACACCAACCCCCCCTCCCCTGTCGCGTCGCCACTCCCCTTTCTTCATTCCCCTTGAATCACCAACCCCTTTCCCGAAACCCCCCTTAGAAAAAAAAGCAAAGATTCTGAGATTCATAGACATAGTCTATCATATTATGTGACAAATCACCTCCCCACATATCCAAACCTTCAACCTTTTGATCCCTTACCCTGGCGCTATATCTAAACTTTGCACGGCGACATTAGAATAATTGATTACTTTACTTTTTACCCGAAAAGTGGTTGCAATCAAGCTAATTCTCGACCCCTTCTCCAATTTAACTCGTGCTGTTTTTGTACCCAGTTGTATCTTTGAAATTCAATCACTAGTTGTCCTTCAATTGGGTGGATGCCTTCACTGTAAATTGCATGAATTCACAAGGGCAATAATTAGTCTTCCTAATCTGAAGAAGCTTGAATTGGGGGAGGGAGGGGGGGGGGGGATTTCATGGGGGAGGGAGGGTGGTTCGTTATTGTTTTAGGGGAAAGGGGAAGGGTTTAGGCGTGACGATCAGCGTAGGGGGGCTGGTGGATTGGCTGGGTGGGGGAGCTGAGGGGGTGATGGACTGATGGGGTTTTTTAAAAAGAAAATTATTTTAAAAATAATTTAATTATTAAAAAAAAAAATAAAAAAAACTAACCCTAGTTAAAAAATTTAATCAAAATTTATCATTAATGATATAGTTAGTTTATATTATTAATTTTTTATTAGCAAAGATAATTAGAATTTTTGTTGTTCGTCATTGAGAAAAATAAAAAACTGATGAGCACCAATGAGAATTTCCCTAAAATCTATCATGTAATTATTTAAATGGGTTTTAAGGAGTATTGATGCAGATTAAATTGGTTTTTTGAATTGATTTAAAAAAAGGGTAGTTTTAAAGCTTTATAAATGATATTTTAATTTATTTATAAAGTTGTAATTTTAATTTAGATTATGTAATTATTGATAAGTAGTATTGATTATGGTTATTTATGATTTTTAGAAGAGGAGTTCGTAGAAGACGCGTTCTAAAGTTGCTTTGTGCTTGAATTTTAGATTTGTTAGGCAAGGTATGTCACACATACTCTCACTGTAGGTAGTATGATATTAGGTATATTTATTTTATTGCAAAGTAGTATCATGTTAGGCTTGGAAATTTACATGTGAAGCATATGGGGTCCATGAGAGGCCTAGATTATTTTATGTACTACTTGATGTATGGAATTTATATGAGAAGCATGTTTATATGATGTATGAATTTTAATGCAAGTTAGAAAGCATGTTAGAATTAGTTATATGTATATTATGATTAATTCGTATTATTTTATTAGTATTGTTACACCCAAAGATCAGATTTTTGACTTTTTGTTTGACCTTTTTGACTTTGATCGAATGAAATGGGTTTTAGAGTGAGCAAAAGGTTTCTGGGCTAAACTGGTCAAGACATAAAAGGAACTGGGCCAATATCACATAGAGGCCCAATAAACAAAGGTCGGTTTAGGAGGCAGATGGATGTTTTTAATTTTTGAAGAAGTGCCGTACAACAGTTATGGGAGTCAGCCATAACCGCTCCATTTCGCCTATAAATAGAAGCGCAAGGATCAAAGGAAGACATCAGCAAATCAATCAACAACAAGCATTTCATTTCTCTTAAGCTTTCTTCTTAGCTTTCGTAGTTTCCCTTGGCTTAGTAACCAAGTGATAGTTTAGTTTATCTCTTAACATGTATTAAAGATCGTTAGTCTTCACCAATTGTATGACCATGGAGGTAACCTCTCCTTCAACTTATACAATTGTAGACCTGATTCTATCCTTTACTTCATGGAATGCATTTGTATCTTTTGTCATATGTTTATCTACTCGTTTCTTTGAGCAATCTAACTTGTTTTACTTCTTTTGGGAAAACTTCCTTATTGTTTTTGTTTTTACTTTAGCAAGGTTATCAGTCTTTGAAACCAGTAATTCGAGGGGCAACCTCCTAATACTCTAGAACAAGATAGAGTATTTAACTTGTTGGTAAAGAATAATATTTATCTCAACAAGTTTTTTGGCGACCACATTGGGAGAACATTAAACTAAATCCATTTAACTTTTTTAAGTTAGAAGTTTTTCCAATGGCTCCTAAGCGTTCAGCCGTTCAGCACGTAAAGGAAACACTCACGAAGATGTTAATTCATCTGAACACAATCCTGAGACTATTTTATAGGATCAGCTAGATCTAGAAAATCAACTGCCAACGGAACATATGACACATTTTCTTGAACCATTCGAGCCTTACACACAAAGGCAAGACGAATCAGTTTTAGAAGGAATAGAAGGCGAGTCTCCGACCAAAAACTTACTCAATACAATTTACACTAAATACATGGATATTGTGAAGAGTCTGATGGAAGATCTAAGAGAAAACAACAGAGAGCAGTTTGATAACTACTATTGTGTCATGGTGGAAGAAACCGCGAGATTGGTAATAGTCGAGTTGAGAAACTTTGACTCTATTACCCAACAAGCGGTTACCAGACAGGTAGATAGGATTATTCTAGATATTAATGATACTCTGAATGCTATTAACATGGCATTATCAAAGAGTGTAGCAACCAAAGTAGTTACAAGACTTGAACCTTTAGTGGAGAAACATAACCAACTTCTTTAGAAGTTGATGAATGTTTTAATCGCTTTAGGTAGTGGGATTACTGAAGTAAATCAAAGGGATAACGTCCCTCTAGGATACACTAGAGTAGAGAATATGACAGGATCTCATGCAAATCCGCCCCCTCTATCAGTCCCAAGAAGTATCCCTCCTATTGGTTCTGATGAGGGGTATATGAGTCAAGGGAGAATCAATGGTTTAGGTCCAGGTTATGAGTCAGGCTATAACCATAATGGCTAGGGTCCATCTTCTTCCTTCTTGCCTCCACTGGTTACCACACAACCATTAACCTTTTCAATGGGTAACATACCTCTTTTAAGAGAAGAGATTGGTGTCAATTATGCCAACTATGGTATGGGAAACCTTCTAGATCCCACATGCCATACATAAGCTAGTGCATCTGCACAGAGGGTGTCCTCTCAACCTACTGGCGTGAATGGCCAACAATCTTCCACACAACCTGGGAGTTATAACCAACATCCATATGGATATCCAAATACTATCCACCCAGCACAAGGTTCTTCATGAAATCAGGGTCAGGCTAGTGGTCCATAAGGAGAAAGATATCCAGTGATGTCTCAACCTAATCCTACTACCTTAGGAGGGATATGCGCTAGATATAGGGGTTTCCACAATCCTCAAAGGAACTAACATAACCCTTATCATATGAAAGATACACCAGTTCAACCTAATGGACCAATGCAAGGTCAACCTCCACAAATGAGACATGAACCCCCTGCTCAAGCAAGTGGAGGAAATGATCTAGAGGGCTATGGGTTAGAGCGGCGGATATGCTAGAGAGGAACCTCCAGTCCATATCCTGAGTGGATTGATAGGCTGTATCCATTCCCAAGAGGATTCAAAGTTCCTGAGTTCTCCCCTCTTTTCTCTGGCGATAGTACAATGTTTGCTGAGGAAAACTTGGTTAGATTCAATTCCCACTGTAAAGAGGTGGTGAATAATGAATTCCTTAAGCTTATGATGTTTTCCAATTTTCTTACTAGCACTGCATTTTCTTGGTTCACTCACTTACCACCTAATTTGGTTCAAAGTTGGCAAGATATGCAAACTCAATTTCTTCGCCATTTCACTAGAGTTGAGGTAGGGGTCACTATAGGTGATTTAGCTAAGATAGTGCAGGAGAAAGGCGGTTGTAGGAGATTACATCCACAGATTTAAGAATGCTAAGATTAGATGTCACTTAAATATACCTGAATCAGAGTTTGTGTCTATTGTCCAAAAGGGTTTATCCTTTCCTTTTAGGAAAAAGTTCGAAGGACAGTACTTCCTTGATTTTGTCACTTTGTCTAGCGTTGTGATGGTTTATGAGAGGTGCTTAGAAAAAAAGTCTAGGTCTAAACATAAGTATTATGCTAGCATGGTTGAAGAATTTGATCAGGAGGATGATGTGTATGAAGCAGCAATAGCTGAGTTTGTACAGGGTCCTTCGTTTAAATGTCCTCCTCTAACTAACAAGAAGTTTACTTATAAGAAAGATTTTGAAATCTGATCAAAAGAGGGAATATACCTTTAACATTAGGAGGTGTGATGAAATCTTTGATTGGCTTTTGAGTCATAAAAAGATTAAGTTAGTAGAGAGACATAAGACTAGAAGTTCTGATGAGGTTAAGGGAAAGAATTACTGTAATGGCATGATGCTTTTACTCATAAGACTAGGGACTGCATAATATTTAAACATGATTCAGGATGAAATAGATAAAAAACACATAAATTTCCCTGATGAGAAAGTTAGTTCTTGCGAATTAGAGTCAATGTCTGCACCAGAGTATGAAAACTATGAAATTAATTGTTTTATGGAAAGTTCTGACATGGATATTAAGCAAGATAACATACAAACTAAAAGAAGTCACTGTTGCAGTTAGATTGTACGAAAGGCTAGTCAGGGAAGGAGTAATTGTGTCACCACAATGCCAGGATGATGATTATGAAGACAAGATGACATGGAGATGGCACTTAATTCTACTCATGCTACAAATGAGTGTTTCGCTTTCAAATGGTTTCTAAACAAGAAGATCAGAACAAATTTGTAGGCGTCATTTGAAGCGCGCCTACCTAAGCATGTTGTGAATATGCTTGGCACTCGTAGGAAGTGGGAATTGACATATACAATTAGGGACAACGATTAGGGAAACATAAAGTAGGGAGTCGCCAACAAGTTTTTCAGGAACTTGTAACCGTTCACTGATCATTATAAGGCAACCACGATAAAGGAACAACGATAAGCAACAACGATTGACCGTTGAAGGTTACACCTAAAAGGAATGGTGTCCTTCCAACAAGTGTATTATTCCGGTAGAGGGTTAAGAATTATTAGAAAGCTAATTATTCTGTAAGGTCAAGTGATTGGAATGCCTAGGTGGAGGCTGCTTCCGATCAGTAATATTAATGTACAATTAATATTACAGCTTAATCTTGACTGAACCCTTCGGGTCGAACCCAATCGAACAACCGATCTGAGACGACGAATCAATCCGAAGGATTTAATGAGTCGTCAGAGTTTTACGAACAAAGACGTCGGATATCGAGCTTAGAGCGTCGAGACCGAGCGTCACAAGTCGAGTCGAATTTAGAATTCGACGAGACATGAAATCAATCAAGTTACAAGTTTGAGTTAGGCCGTAGCCTCGCATTGGCCTAGTCATGCGAGGGCTAGGCTATCTCGAGCTAGCATGCGCATCGCAATGATAGTCGCAAGCCTAGCATGCTAGGCGTGCTAGGGCCATGCATGCTAGCTAGCCATCGCAAGCATCGCAGCCTTACGTGCGTGCTAGCATGCCAAGCGTCCAGCCATCGCTAGCCAAACAAGCATCGCAAGGCTAGGCCTTACTAGCATGCTAGGCGCTGGCGCATAGCTAGCCAAGCAAGCAGCGCAAGGCTAGGCCTTGCTAGCATGCTAGGCGCTGGCACAAGCAGCGCCGCGGCACCAGCAAGCAGCGTGATAGGCATGCTTGGCTGTGCGTGTGTGCTAGCAGGCAGCAGCATGTTGTGCCTTGCCTAGCAGCGGCGCCCAGCATGCGTGGCTCCCTAGCAGCATGCATCCACTGGTTGGCTACGCATGCTTGTGGCTGGCTGTGCGTGTGTGCTGGCTAACTGGCCTGGCTGCCCTGCCTTGGTGCTAGGCGCCAGCTGGCAGCCTTGGCAGCCAAGGCAGGCTGCCATCCAGCCACTTGGCATGGTGGTTCGGTTTTGCTAAGTGTGGACCAATGCTTGGTAATTGCCTTGGGGAGTAAGGTGGGTTGGTCCCCTCCCTTGGTGGTCCTCACTTTCTCCCTCTTCTCCTATTGCCACTTGTAACTTGGTGATTGAATTGCAATTTTATTTTTGTTTTGATTAAAATAAAATGGGAAAATTGCAAATCTCCCACATTGATTGAGAATGGGAAATCAAGGTTCATTTCCCTATAAATACCGAAGTTTTGGGATTTGGGAAGAACATTTGAGTGGAACTAAAAAGGCATCTCCTTAGAAATGTGAGAAAACCTTAAGTTCGTAAAACTCTAGTTTTTATTGGTCAAGTCCCGACTAACCTTCTGGACTAGGACCGTTTGGGTCGGGTTCGTGGGTACGAGCCGTTGGAGACCTTCGCATTTGCGGGGTTCAAGTTTTGAAGTGAGAGCTCGGGTTCGAAAAAAGCACGCGCCAAGAGTATGAATGTCTTTTCCTTCTATCTCTTAATTATTGTTTAATTTGTGATTACATGCTTAGTTGCCTTAATTATTGGGCGGGTCTTTGGGCGGGTTTCTCTTCCGCGCAGAGTCGGACTCTACGAAACCCAACATTGGTATCGGAGCTGCGCTCACTTTAATTTTTGTAACTAATAATTAATTAAGGTGATTTAAAATGGATTTAAATTTCTGGTTGTGCTTTGTAATTGGATTAGAAGCTCGATTTAATTAGTTTTAATCTCGTATATTTTTCTAATTTTGGCTGACGAACCCAGATTTCGACTCAAAAATAGTGATTTTTGGGTGAAATCGATGTTCTAAATCATTTATGATCCTTTAAGGATTGTCCAGAATCCAAAATCCACCCAGAAACATGTTTTTCGAGGGTTTTTTGTTTTTGACGATTTTTTTTTAGATCTTTTAACCTTGATTAATTATTGCATGTTAAGGGTACATTAAATGTATGGTTGCATCCCTAATCTACTGGAATTATAAACCTCATTAAGCATGTTTAT